GGTGCGGAGCTGCCGCGCCCGTTAGCGCTTCGCCCCGCCCCTCCCGGCGGGCGCATTTCTGGCGGTCGCCACAACCACCGAACGAGGCCAAAACGCGGTCCCGGCGCTCACCGCCACGCTTCAGCCCGCCCCTCACTGCGGCCGTTGCTCGCGGCGGTTCCGCCGGGACCCTCGCGCGGCCCGTTAGTTTGGAGCATGCGCAGTGCGGTGCCCCAGCGTTCCCGCCCGTGCGGCGCCCGCGGGCTCGTGAGGGGAGAAGCGCGTGGGCTCGTGAGGGAGAAGCGCGCGCGCGGCCCCGTCGCCGCCTTAGCGCTCCCCCTGAGGGAACAGAACTGGAGTGACGGAAAAGAGAGTCAAAAACAGCCAAAAAGTGACAGAGCCACAGGGTCATAGAATATCCTGTGTTGGAAGGGGACACGCGAGGATCATCAAAGTATTACTCGCCCTGCACGGGACACCCCAACAACTCCGCTGAGCCCTCGGGGTTTCCTCAAGCAAAGACTTCTAACTGGTAAAAGTCCTCAAGGCCGCAAGACAGGGCAGCAAACATCGTTAGTGTAATGTCTCTTTTGGCACCTGTCCAGTGGAGAATAGATTAAATGGCCCATTAAGCACTCAAATGCTATGATAACTAATAGATTCAAGGATAGAGTAATTTGTGGTCTAGTCACCCTTTTTTCTCTTTTTAATCAATGACTTTATTTAGAAGTACCCCATGCGCTAATTTCTCCTTGAAGATGTTCAGTTGGTTTGAGTGACCACGTGTGGGTCCCTCTGTGTCGGAGACTCACAAATGCCTAAGATTTAACTAGAATTAATGATTTTCTGATTAAAATCTCTGGTAAATGCAGCCAATATTGCTTCAGTATCACATAACTGGGAAGACACTGTAAAATTCAATTGTGTTTCCTTAGAAACAAGCAGTTGGCATGTTCCATAAATCCAAGTCCACGACAAATAGTCTTCCCTCCCTTTTCAAATAGCACAATTTCCAGTCAGAGATATCTTTGGTTGCTTAGCAATTTGAGGAAATCTGATACTAAATGGATTTTGTTAGGAACAGAGAAAGGTGACAGCAGCTTGGGTTTGCACATCAGGTTTTTTAGTTTTTCCTCTGGACAAAACAAACATTACTTCTCCATTTAAAAGAAAGGTGAATGAGCAGTAGGTTGTGGAACTAACACCTTCCAACTAGGCAGCAGGCTTTTCCTTTCTTCTTCCCAATGTCCATGTCATACAGATGAGCATTTCCTTGTGCTGCTGCAGAATGTTCACTGCATTGCTTCTGGCTCTTATCCCACTCTCTCCCAACCAAACCCATCTCAGGCTCAAGTGACAACAACTTAAATAAAAAGCGGCTGATAGGGAGGGGAAAAAAACCCCTCAGTTGTCCTCAGCTGCCCTCGAGAGCCACCTGGAGCCAGAAATGGAACTGAAAAATCCCTGCATGTCCTTATTCCTTTTGCCAGTCCTGTTGTAATCCCTCTTCCACACGCTCTTCAATCTGAGAGCAGAAACTGCTCATTTGAGTCAAGCAGCAAACCACAGACAGACAGTGTCACCTAGTGGGGCACCAGAGCCAGCCCGAGCTGGCTTCCAGCACGGGGAATTCACCTATCTTTTCTCACCGTTTTTGTAGATGGAGAGCAGCCCAGGAGAGAAGGATTTTAGGTGCTGGTGGAGGAGAGCTGGACATGCCCCAGGAACCCCCCGAGGCACGGGCAGCAGGGGAGGGGGGGGCTCTGTCCCTCTGCCCTGCTCAGGTGAGACCCTACCTGCAGAGCTGCCTCCAGCCCTGGGACCCAGCACAGGGAGGATGTGGAGCTGCTGGAATGAGTCTAAGGCAGGCACCAGGAGGATCAGAGGGAAGCTGGGATGAAAGGTTGGGAGGATGGGGATTGCTGAGCCTGGAGAAGAGACAATGACCTCATTGTGGCCTTCCAGTGCCTGAAGGAGCTGCAGGAAGGATGGAGAGAGACCTGGAGTGCCAGGACAAGGGACAATGGCTTTAAACTGCCAGAGGGCAAGGTTAGAGGGCATACTGGGAAGGAATTCCTCCCTGTGAGGGGTGGTAGGTCATTGGAATGGATGTCCCAGAGATTTCCCCATCCCTGGAAGTGTCCAAGGCCAGGTTGGTCAGAATTCAGAGCAGCCTGGGATAGTAGAAGGTGTCCCTGCCATGGCAGGGGGTGGAATGTGATGAGGTTTAAGGGCCCCTGCAACTCAAACCATTCCATGATTCCATGCCAATTCTATGACCCCTTAAACACTGCCTTTTTGTGAAACAAGATGAATCCAGACTTCAGTTTTAATGGAAATGATCCAAACTTTATTGAAGGTTTTGTCGTTAGCAGAACTGTTAAGAAAGCAGAATATTTTACACCTCAAGAATCATGAAGATCTAATTCTCTTGAGAATACAGTACAAATAAAAGCTAATAAAAAAAAGGGCCTCCTCCTCCTCCCCCATTCAAGATTTTATTATTTGTAAAAGAAATGAAGTCAAGTTAAAAAACGTTCTGATCTTCAACACTGGCAATCGGAAAGTGTCACTGATTCCAGAGATTTTTGCAATGCAGCACAATTTCACAGCTGTAAGGAAAAGATTTATGGCAGCTTGATAAAAGTAGGATTTCAGAGTTGTCAAAAGGCCTTAAAAATCTTATCTGCAGTTTAAAATGATAACGAAGAACTCCAAGTAAAAAAAGAAATGACAACAAAACAAAACAAACTCCACTTCAAATGCCTGTGAAATGCAGAAGTAATGCCCTGCAGGCTGCTCCAAAGTTTTCACTTGTCTTTTGCAGAGACCTGGCAGCCAGCACAGCTCCTGGGATAGCACTGAAATACACATGGTCCAGCAACGGGCACCATTCCAGTTGTGCAGGGACTCCTCAACTGATCACAGGCAAGTTTGAGACAGAAATTCACACTGCACTCAGTTTAGGATGCTTTAGTTGTTGGACACTACACACAGAAATACTTTTATTATTAAAAATAAGAAGCCCAGTTGTGCCCTTTCCATGTATTAAAGTGCATTAAGTGACCATTTTAAAGCAGGCCAGAAAGTCCCTTTGAAGTTGGTCCCTAAGCACTGCAGTAGCATTTGTAGTGGTATGGGTGGTGTGTTCTAGAGGCCCTGTCCCACACCAGCACGGCAAGTACAGTGGAATTCCATAAATTGTTAGTGAAATACCTACTGAAGCTCAAAGGGAAAAGACAGTAGAGAACAGCTCTGTTCTCGTGCTGGGGACAGACACTACCTGCTGAAGCCATCCCACAGCCAGACATTTGCTCCATGCACCTAAAGAATTTGCAGGCTTCCAGAGTTTTCTAGCTGAGATAATTTGTATGTAGATTCCCTTAATGCTGATGTGCAGTGCAGCATCACTTCCTCCAGGAGAGCTGTTTGTTAAAGCTAAAAATACCCATTTCAAAAGGCCCAGCACCTTGCAGCAAGTTTTTTAGTAAAAGGCCAATTTATTCATCATCATCATCATCTTCATAGTAGCGATTCCTTTTGATCTGTTCTTCCACAGATAGATCTTCCATGTCTTCACCCTCCCAAAAACCAACATCTTGGGATTTACGATTCTGGTTTGGAGACGATTCCTTGGCGGTCACAACATTAGCTAAGCTGGAATGTTTAGGAGAATTTGGTTCAAGGAGTTCTTCCTTTGGAATTTCTCGCTCCTCTGTAGTGTGTTCTTCCTCATCTGTGTCTGCATTCATCTGGCCATTCTCTACAACACTGTGCTCTGTTTTATTACCAGACAATTCCCCTTCTTCCTCCACATTTTTCTCCCCGGCATTCTGGATGTTCCTATGCTTAACCCTCTTTTCTTTTTGTTTTTTCTCTACGACAACCTCTCTCTCCAGTTCCTCACTCCTTTTCAAGGTGTCTCTCTCTTCCTTAGAGGGAGATGGAGAATTCTCTGTTTTATGGCCTTTAACAGATACTGTTCTAAATGAGGCTGCGACTGTAAAGGGGCGACTTCGCTCCTTCAGCGAGGAAGATCTTCTTAACTTTTTGAGATCCAGATCCACATCTTCCTGCACATCTGGCTTGGAAATCTCTTCCTCTGGAGGCCACTTGGGTTTGAGTACTTTGATGCCCTCATCTAAGGCACTTCCTTGGATACTTTGGTCAGATGGAGGTGGCCAGGCAATCCTGAGCTTTTTTGTTTCTGCAGGTCTTTCTTCTCTTTCAGGCACAGCTGAAGCTTTTGCTTCCATACTTGCTGCCAGAACTCCCACTTTTGCAATCGGGGCATCCTCTACTCCTGGGCTTTGTGGAGTTTCTGCTGCATTCACACCATGGACTGTTTTCTCTGGGGATTCTTCACCTTCAGTTTTACCTGCCCACAATTCCTTATGCTGCTTGTGTCCAAAGCCCTCATCATAATTGCCTTTGGACTTGAAGAGCTGATTGAAGTGAGGCTTGCAGTAGATGTTCCCACGCAGAGACGCGTACGTCCCGAGGCTGTTCAGGAAACACAGACCAAACATTAGAGCTCAAGGCCACCAACACAGGCATCTGTTTTAGCTGTGTTACAGAAGAGATTCAATTTCCCTCTTCCACATGTTCAGAAAGACAAGATTACAGCCCTCAGGGTTTGTGTGGCTCTTTCTAGGAACTCTTTACAAAGCTGGACATTCTATTTTTCCCCACATAAAACTACATTAAGAGTTTAAAAATGGCATCAAGTGTGGCAGGCACTGGCAGAAGTAGGCCTGTGTTACCTCCCCTACACAAATCACTGGATTATGGTGACTTCCAGCTCAGCTAGACCTGAGCAACACCTTTCCTCAGCTGTGGGAGGAAAATTCACTTCCCAGAGGGCAGCCAAGGGAGCAGTGCACATACCTGAGTTTGCTGTTGCAATAGGAACAGCGGAAGCAGCTGATGTGAAACACCTGCTGGTTGGCAAAGAGCCTTTCCATGGGGTACACGGTCTTCTGACACCCAACACAGGTTTCCTTCATTGGCAACTGGAATTTCTACGAGGGGAAGAGAAAGTTTGTTAACTGGAAAACACATCAGCTGCTGGGGACTTGGCGTGGGTTCATGCACAGCTTCCTGAACTCTCAAGAACTGCAGAGAGCCACTTTCTCTAGTTCTGGTGCAGCGGGCTCTGGTGGGCAGCAAGAAGCTACAACAGGCCCAGGGGATTGCTGTGGCTTGACAAGATTTTTACCCAGTGAATCCCACAGCTGAAGCATCACATGCTGAGCAATGGTTGGGAAAGAACAGTGAGAGCACTAAAACTGAGCCCGTTCCCCAAAGCTGTCTCATCCTTTCCTGCAACCTCAGTTTTTATTGATAGGAGAATGATGAAGCATTCCAGTTGATTACAATCAGTATGAGACTTACCAAAATAATAAAAATAGCAGAGGAAAAGAGAATCTTTCAATTGTTTGGGTTGGAAAGGACCTTGATGATCATCTAGTTCCAATCCCCTGCCATGGTCAGGGACACTGCCCACCAGAAGAGTTGAAATAGCCTCAAAAGGTGCAGGGTGGGAGAGGAAAGGAGTGAAACAGGCTGCCCCAATGGTTTGAAACGATCCAATTTTTGTTAAATCTTTTTCTCAAAGAGGAGGAAATAGTCTCAGCACCAATACAACAGCAGGAAACACTCCTGACTTCACTTGTAAACAATTCCAGCTCTATCCCAAAGAAACCACACTCAGGTTTCAGGACTCACAGCCCCCCAAAACTTGCTCAAGATTCAAAGTGAGCAGAGCTTTGAGGTTAAACAGCTAAAATTCTTATGTGCTTATTTTTATGTGCTAAATTTCCTGAGGGTTTAGTGCAAGGATAAACTTGAGCACTGAGGAGTCGAGTGTCACCGTTGTGCAGCAATGATCAAGGGTTTGTTTTCTGACAGCATCAAGGAAGCAAGAACACCATGAGAAAAGGTCACTGGATGCCATTTACTTCTTCAAATCTATTAACACTGGCCAACGGAGAGGACACTTCACAGCATAAATTAAATAATACAGCATTGACATTTTGAGGCTGTGTGTTGATTACAAGTGATTTAGCAGCCTCCACTCCACTCCACTCCAGGTCTGCACTGACATAGTGTGGCTTCTCCTTGGCAAAGAATTACCTGCTACAAACTTACAAAAAGCTTTACGGAAAAATCCGATGGCTGAAGGAAAAACAGGAAGGTCACAGGAAGACATAATCACAAATTTATTTATAACAGTCTAGAAACAATGGTTAGGAATGAAAGTTCCAGTGTGTAAGGGCAGATTGCTGAAGATGGAGCCAGCTCAAGTCACTTTGTCACAACCATAAAGTTTGCTGCCAATTTAATTCCATTTTAATATGTATTTCAGGGTTTCCAGGCATCGCTTGAAGTTACAGTAGATTAAAGTTTTGATGATGACAGCTTCAATAACAAAATTCAGAACTCTTTTTGAAAAAGAATCCACAGTTTCTAGGTGCTGAAAACTCTGAATCTTGAGTCACTAAATGAAATCTCAAAAAAAATGAGATTTACTGATGCAAACAAAAATCCGATCACCCGTGCTTGCCACGTGGAGCAAGGCAGCAACAATTCACTTGCCTACCAAAATGTTTTCTCCCTGAAAGCTCGGTTTGGCATGAGGGTTTTGCACAGTGACACAACAGTGCTGGCACATGCTTCTGCAATCACATCCCCATCCAAGGAGAGGGACTTACTTGCATACAATGAGCCCTATATCTGTGGAGAGACGCTTTGGGCTGTGAAGAGACAGAAATTCCTTTCCAGGATACTACAGATAGGAGCTACAGGAGGAAGATGAGGCCCCACAAGCATAAAAAGGACTTGAGAGAAAGCTGAGAGTTGAGCTCACATTAGGAGGGAAGCAGAAGGCAGGAGGAGAGGTTAGGAACCAAGAACAGGAGACAGAAGCTGGAAAAGACAAATAGGAACCTTGCATGAATAAACAGAAGCTTCTGTCTCACACAGTGCAGCATCTAAAGCAGTAACTGGGCAAAAGGCTAAAATGGTTTTGATAATCTCAAGAGAGCAGAGAGCACCAGGATGTGCAGGTTTTGTGTCACAGACCAGCATCACACAACTCTCACTGCCAGATCAAATTTCCCCTACTGACATTTCTCCCCTGCACACTGGGAAGTCAGATCTCCCCAGTCTCTGAGCTCAGGGCTGTGTCCTCCCAAAGATGGGGAAAACAACAAAAGCCCAGTTGTTTCCTCAGGAGTGAGCCAGGAAGTGTGTGGCAGCCTAGGGGATCAGCATCCCACCCCCAGACAACACACGTGATGATCAACTACAGCCTGACCAAAATGTCCAGTGCTGCCATTTGTTGTCTAATCAGATTAACAAATACATCCCTGTCCCAAAGTTCTCCATCTGCTTTATTGCTCCCTAAAGAAACTGTAGCATCCAAGACTCATTACTCAGAAAGCCAAACCTGATTTTTATAGTCAGGCACTGCTGTGCCCCCACTATAAAGTTACTACCAGTTGCAGTTACCTTGGGAACAGCTGGAAGAGGAGCAAAACCAAGTCCCAGCCTGCTAAAAGCTCTGGAGATCAGTACCAGGACCTCAGGGGGCATCTCCAGGAGCCCAGACAAGCCCTGAGACATCCCCTGCTCGTGCCCCTCTGCAGAGCAGCAGCCTCTGTCACAGGGGGGTAACAGAGACCAGCAACTCCCACCCAATCTCTGGAAAAAACCCGACTGCTTTGAGGTGCTTTTCCATCCTGAATTCAAGCACCCCCACAATCACACCCTGATGAGGACGGAGCAGGTATTGATCAGACCTTTGTGCTTAAGCACATTTAGGTTTTTCAGTATTAAATAGGGCTGCCAGTTGGTTTTTACCAGGGTTGGGGACTAAAGAGCTGCGTTACCTTCACGGCTTTCGGTGGGGAGGCCTCTGTCTGCCCAGCTGCTTTAGCACCAAGGTTCTGCTGCTTTGAGATGATCGGTTTCTGAGCTTCTGCCTCGCTCTCTGATTGTCCAACTGAGGGAGCAGAGGAGGGAGAAAAGGCAATTACAGTGGCTTTGAAACTGTGGGCAGCTTATGCTCACCAGAGTATCAGTTAAATGGTGAGGGAGCTACACTTAGTGTTCAATCAGGGCAAAAGGAGTTAAAAATGTCTTAATTACAGCTGCAAATGAGCTTCTAATCATGAAGGGAATTCTTATAAAGTCAGTGTTAGGCACAGGACAGATTTTTAGTACAAGACAGTTTTTATGAATTAATCATTTGATGGGGCTCACCGTGGCCATCCTCCAGCAGACCAGAGTGCAAAGACAAGCTGTTCTCACCTACAGAAACCTGCAAGAGAAAACGAGACAATGAGAACCTCTGACCTGCCGAGATCTGAAGTCACGGCCCCAGGAAGGCACCAGGCAGTTTGAGCACGGAGACGGGGAGAGACCTGAGTGGCTCAGAAAAGGAGTTGGTTTTGAGGCACAAAAGGCTCCAGCATCAAGAGAGCCCTTGCTACAAGGTAGACACCCTCACAGAGTTCACACAAACATCAGATTTATCTTTCTTTGTACACCTTTATTAACCCTCAGAAATCTTTGTTGATTTGCTGAGGTTCCTCCCAGGTTATCTCACTTACAAATCCCTTGACCCCAAGCAGCACATTTACTGGAAATCTCATGGCTCCCTCCAGCATTTGGCCAATCTCTGACATTCAGCAGAGACTGTGCTCTTGGGAGGGGAAAAAAAACCCAAATGAAATAAAATAAAGAACACCTGAATTAAAAAAACCTTTTGACGAACCATAAGCCTGTTGTAAGGTTGGGACAAACATGCCAGATATTCCTTGTTCATCCTCCTTCAGAAACAAATTAATTATATTATAATTTTTAAAAATATATAAAAGTAATTGTAATACAGATATAATATATTTTAATTATAATATATAATTATTTTAAAATAATTATAATTTTTTAAAAATTTAAAGACTAGAGGAGCTGGATCTAAGCCAGTTTCAAGTACTACACAGAATCATAGCATTGTTTAGTTTGGAAAAGACCTTTAAGATCATCAAGTGCAACCATGAACAAAACCTGCTACAGATAAAGCTCTTGATGTATAACTCTTTATTAAACTTGGCACTATTGCTATTAAATCAAATAGTTTTAAGTAGCTACAAGGAGGAACTAAAGTACTGTAACAAGATTAACAGCAAATCATTACTAATTCACCTTAATGATTGAAAAGTCCATTGCAAGCAACTGAAATTTGCAAATTAATGAGGAGGCAAATTATGTGTATTAACATCCTCTGGTCTGCTGAAACCAGAACTGTACCCCAGCGTCCTGGGCAGAGCATGAACATGTTCTGAGGCTGCTAAAGTCACACACGTCTGGCTACTGAATGTGCCACGGGTGCAGTGTGAAAAATGACAGAGTGAAGTGTCTTTTGTTTCCTTTCTGCCAGAGGATTCCCATTTCTGACATTAACGACAAGCAGTTTTAATTAGGCTCATTTCCAAGTTCACCATGTCCCTTCCAAAGGACAATCCTGGCTCCCAAACAATGCCCCATTCAGGTTCTCATTGCACCTGGACACCTCAACAAGTAACTCTGCAATTACAGCTGAACACAAGAAATTTTATTCAAATCTTCCATTCACAACAGGGAGATATTCTGATTTAACAGGTGCTCTTTTAATTAACTCACCTTGGAGCAGGAAGCAGCCTCGACCAGTCAGACACGAAGCTGCTCAGCTGTCTCTGAGGAACAGCTGAAAGCAAAGATTTGGCCCCTTGCCCATGGAAGGCTGAAAAGCTCTAAAAGCCCTCCTGGCATTAAGCTGCCACGTGTTCAGCCTGGATGGAATACACAGTATCCCAATTATTATTCAGCTACTTTTATCCCGTCTGCTGTCCCCAGTTGAGGGAACAAATGCTCGAGTCCAGTTTACAGAGTCTCAATTTATATCTGGAGCTCAAAACCAGGAATGAACCCAAACTGCCATTCTCAGTTACCCTAAAATTCAGCCACTAAATGCAGAAGAAACAGTGACAAACTCCTTTGACTTGGGTCATACGAAGCTGTTCGTGGGGTGTTTTTTTTAACTGGTATGGATTTTTTTGTTTATAAAAAAACTATAAAACAAACCTACCAAGACAGAAAAACCTCTCCCAGAAAACTCATCTCTATACATTCTCTTCCACAGCCACTTGCTGTCTTGTAATTCAGAGTCAATCTAAAAAGAATAGTTTAAAAAAACAGGAATTTTGCAGCATGTAACTAATCTGCATCAGCTGCTCATGTTCAGTTCCCAGACTGCATGTGGAACAGGGAACCAGTGTATCAGCTGTGCTTCCACAGCCAGTTCCACTTAAAATTAAACCCTTGATCTCCACCAGCACAGACATCTTACCTTCTCCCCATCCTGACAGGAATTGGAGTCCTCAATTGGTGCCATATTCTCCTTCTGCCCAGATTTGTAATTCTTGACTTCACTCTCACTGGCTTGAATCTCACTCTATAGGACAAAGCACTGGAAAGGTGACAGGTTCTTTTCCCCTAAGAAAATACTTGCTTTTTGATTTTTCTTGAACTGTTTTTCTAGTATGTGGAGTGAGGATTTAAGGAAGAGACGTAAGAATGTACAGACACTTGTTAAGAGACATATTCTAATGAGGGAACAGGATTGGGCTGTAGAATTTTACTGTGCTCTAAGGAGATAATGCCAGTGTTTTCCTGAGCAACCCTTTTCTTCCAAATTCCTGTTTAAAATCAACTCCTAAATACTCCCTGCTCAATCCACATCTTCCTTTCTGAGAAAGGTTAACTTTTCACTTGGAATGACAAGTATTTCCAGACAAGCACTGCCTAAAGTACACTGTAATTTCTAAATACAATTTGACATAAAAGCAAATCCCACATTTGCTTCAATTCCAGCCAAAACTGAGTCTGTTTTCCTGAGATTTTTGTTCGTGATAGACTAACTTAAGACTTTCACAGAAGGATCTTTCAGACTTTAAAACCAAGAAAATGCAGTGAAACCTCGTGTTTCTTCCATTGCCACAGGACACAAGATCATTGGAAGCCTCGTGCTTTTCACAAGGCATCTTCTCTGTGACATGAAAGAGGAAGAGCCACATGCCTGCACCAGCATCTTCCTGCACTTGGAAACAAATCTCCACAAAACCAACCACATCCTGGAGGTTTGTGCCAAATGTTGGAATTTTAATGCTTGGATCTCTGCATTTGCTGTCCAGCACCTTTCCCTCCCCTTCCAACACTCAGAACTGATTGTTCCTCACCCCTACTCCAACCAAGTGTCCATCAGGTTTAATCCAGGCATTATTACACCACCATGCCCTAAAATAGTTGTACACAAGAGAGATTCTGGCTTTTCTCTGTAGCCCAGTTGTGAGAAGGGCAGCACAAACATCACACTTCCATAGCAATAAAAGCCCTGGATGCTTTGGCAGTAGGGAAGGAGAAGATCCCAAGGTTAGGGCTGCTGTTGGAACAGTGGCACTGCAAACACTGGCCTCAGGAACCCATCTGCTCCTCCTCACGCTGCCCTCATCCACAGGCTGGGTCAAAATGGGAAGAGATTGTGCCCAAATGGGGCATCCTGAGAGCATCAGGCTGCACTGACACTAAACCAAGAGCTGCAAACAGGAGCCTCTGGAGGAATGGCAATCTCTTGCCATCAGGACAGAATTCAGTGACTCAGCCACCACTCTGAGCCCCAAACTGGAAAAGGCATCAGGAAATGAGTCCAGGTGAGGCACAGGAGGCAGAAATGGACAATTAGGTTAATCAGATTTGTTGCAGAGGCAGCAAGGACTTTCCATTCATGCAGGGAAGGTTTTACTGACCCTCCTCCCACAGCTGGGGAATCTGACCCACGTGCAGATGAAGTTCAGGAATCATTTGAGCTGGGAAGAGGCCCTTGGCCCTCTCCTGGGAAGCAGGCCCTCCTCTGAGGGAGAACCAGCACTTTGGGCTCACATTTCCAGAGCAAGTTTCCCAACTTAAAAAGGCCTTTCCTCTTTAAATCTGTTACTCTGGTTAATAAAAGTAATAATTGAGCAATGTAAGTTCCCATCATTCAGCAAAAGTATCAGAAACTTCCAGCAAATGTACCTAAGCAATTTTTAACAAAAGCTGAGATTCCTGGAACCTCCTCAGCTGTAACACTTCATTAATTGTTCAGGTCCTGGTCAAATATTTGCAAAACAGGCAGAGGTTCATTCACTGCAAGAGTCTAATTGGATTCAGAGAGCGGTGAGAAATCCTGAAGAGAGGTGAAAAGCAAGAACAAGGAAAACCAAGAGAGAGTCCAAAGTTGCAGGGCAAGAGATCCAAGCTCTGAGCACTGTGTGACACAAAGTCACCTCATCTCACTGTGCCTCAGTTTCCCACAGCTCTGAGCTGACAGACAACATGGAATTGAGTGGAGTTTTCTTTTTTAAACAAAAACAGCAAACACGTAGAGGGCTACAGAAAGAAAGAGAAAGAATGTCAACTATGTTTCAGAAGGACCTCGGTCAGGGTGCCAGCAATTAATTCCTTGGAAAACTTTCAACATTACTGCAGGAAGATGCAAATATAATTATTTATTCCTGCAGTATGAAGAGGCAACTCTTCATCAGAAATTACTCCTATGGGCACAGAGTTATTTTCCAGAAAGAATGGCATTACCCTCAAGCAGCCTGGTTTCCATGAGATCTTCTTTCCAGTCTCAGGCTGGGACAAAAATTCACTTCCACACAAACCAAGACTTACCATGGGAATGAGGCCAGAGGAAGTGCCCTGCTTGGACACAGCTGCCTGGTACTTGGCCAGCCTGTCCTTTATTGATGTCTCCGATAAACGGGGCATGTCCAGGTTCTTCCTGGTCTCTGCCTTCTCTGGGCTGAGTCCTGGACTGGTCTCTACAAGATACCGTGGTAAAAAAACCCAAACATGAATAATGGATAACTCTGAGTACTCACCAAGATCCTTCTTGGGGAGAATAAACACATTGCCATTCTCTCCAGGATCATTCCAGCAAGGACACAATGTGCATCACTAAGGGGTGAGACCCAAGGGAACAGCAGCAGGTGTGTCAGGGGAGAGTTAGGTTGGATATCAGGAAAAGGCTCTTCCCCCTGAGGGGTGTCAGGCACTAAAAAGGCTTCCCAGGAATGGGAACAGCCCCAAGGCTGCCAGAGCTCCAGGAGCATTTGGACAATGCTCTCAGGCACAGGGTGGGATTGTTGGGGTGTCTGTCAGAGCCAGGAGTTGGGCTGGATGACCCTCGTGGGCCCTTTCCAACTTAGGATGTTCTATGAGTATTTATAATATCAATCATTGGTGGAAACCCCAAAAGATTACAAACAGTTTGCTAGAAAAAGGTCTCCAAACAGATAAAAATACATGATTTTGTTTAAGTCAAAGCTCACAGTAGCTCCCCTGCAGCTGGCCAGGAGAGGAGGGGTGAGGATTGAAGCAAGGAGGCAGAAGGAGCATTGACTGTCTGTTCACTGCTTCCTAAATTACCTATTAAAACTAGTTCTAGGATTGGGATGCAGGAAAGAATGGATTACATTCCTTAACCTGTTGGTTCTTCCCTGTGCCTTGGCTTCCCGTGATTAAGAGTGGAATGGTTTAAAACTCCCAGCAAGGCTTCACTAATTAAACGGGATGCTGATGGACTTTGCAGCTGGACAGTGGCTGCACTTCCATTTTGGAAAGGTAAAAGTTATTTCATAGAATCCTTGAGATTGGAAAAGCCCTCCAAGCCCAGCGAGTCCAACCTCTGACTGCTCCCCACCTTGTCAGCCAGCCCAGAGCACCGAGTGCCACCTCCAGGGAAATTTCTATTGTACTGTATAAAGCAGATTCACCTCCTAAACAAAAACCAACCCAACCCACCCAAAACCCAGCCCTGAGGTTTCCTCACCTGCCGTGCTGTGGCTCCTCTCTCCTTGGGCGGCATCGCAGTCCTCCAAGGAGAGGCTGTTCTCCGAAATCCTCCTGCCCACGGCCGCCCTCCGCGGCTCCCGGGGGCCCTGCCGGTGACAGACCCTCCCATCAGCTGCTGGACACACCAGGGATTGCTCTGGGTAATCCCTTAAGAGGCACAGGTGTCACTAGCAAATCTGCTTTACTGGAATAAACAAGTCTGGGAGGTGACATCTTGTTTAACCAATATAAAGTTTGATCACAGAGTACCTGACCCTCTGTCACCTGGGAAACACTTTCTTGAAGAGGTCAGTTGGTGACCTTTGGAAGGTCTCTTGCTTGAAAAGGACCACAAAGATCAGATTTTTGGGTTGTTCCCACTGCATATTCAAAGCTTCAGCCTGTATTTTTGCATTTCATGCAATTTCTGTTGAAGCCAATAGTCACGGTCATTGTATAAAGATTTAAAATCAGAAAAAGGATGTGAGGAACCACTTATCCAAAATCTGCATTCATTTTCAGCCACAGAGAAATTAATTAATAGTACTGTAATCAAAGTTATCTAGAGTTGTTTGTTTTGATTTTGGATAGTTCATGCATTTGGTACCAATAATTCTCTAATTAGATCTGAGAAGGCTGAAGCTAAAGCAGGAGAGTGTGAGAGATAAATATTCTCAGATCTCCAGGATAATCACTCTCCGCTGCAGAGCTGGACAGCGTGTCCTGTAGCACCACACAGATGCTCTGGCTGCCTCAATCAGATTTTATTATTATTTATTGATACCAACTCCCCAGAATCTAAATCTCAACAAAAGAAAGCACAAAAAGAAATTCCTGCAGCTTTGCTAAAAGTTCATGAGCACAGAGTTAAACCAGACTCCATCAACATTTCATTCACAGCTGAAAGTCAGCTTATAAAATCCTAGAAGGGACCTTTGTTCCATCTCTAGGAAGAGTTAAATCACAGTTGGAAATTCAGATTGAGGCTAATGTGGAGAAAAAGGCAGGTTTGGCAAGATGCTCCAACCACACATTCCCCCTCAGCTCCAACGACTTTCTTATTTGTGGGTCACCGAACTGAAGGAAATTCCAAAGTTTTATTTTCGCAGAACTGCAGTGGAAGATAATCACTGTGAAAAATCAGGCTGCTTTCCATACAAACAGCAACTTCACCAGGAGAGGAAAATGCAGCTGGAAAACCTCTTTTTCCATTAGCACGGGAAATAGTTTCTATTTCTGTGGTTTAAGGCTTTGGTAACTTTTCTTACTGGAAAAGAGCTTTAAATCTGACAAGTCTTGTGCTGACCAATAGGCTCAGGTTTGGGAGTGCCTGCACACTTGTAAAGACTTGCAGGTTCCTCATTCCATGAAAACTATTCTTAGATGATTCTTATTCAGTCAATGTCCCCTTTAACATCACCCTGAACTCACAAGTCTGGGGTTCCTGCAGCTCAGAAATTTGGGCTGAATTTGCAGCTCCAGAGCCCTGCAGCTCCTCCTGCCCTTTGCCACCTCACATCTGCAGGTGTCACAATTTCACCTGAAGAGTGAAATTTCTGGAGGTGAGCTGCAGAACACAAGAGTAAAAATCCCAACCACCAGAATACACAAGTTTTAGAGGTCAGGGATATTTTCAGTGATCTACAAATATCTTACAAATACATGTAGGTTTTATATCAACAGTTTTGTCTTGGGGGAGAAAAAAAAAGCAGAGTAAAAGGGAAAAAAAAATGTTTAAAAAGGGAAGATTAGGGACTTTCCTCATCACAACTATGGACTGAGCAACTGCAGGGAATCAGCAGGATCATGGGAAGATAACTCCTCTCACATGGAAGAAGCTCCCTTAGGGATTTGTCACTCTGTGGCTGGGCCACAATTCCCAGGGCACAGCTTCTGCTGCTTTGGAAAGGAGATTAAATATTCCTCGTGTGTGGAAATCCCCAAGTTCTCAGACTTGGGCAAGTGCAGAAGCACCATGAGCACAGGTAAAGCTTTGCCTGGGGCACAGAGTTGAGCAAAAACCCAAATCAAAGCTACACCTATTTCATTACAAACCTCCTGTGTCAGACGTGACCCTGCCATGAGGTCACCTACACACCACAGCCAGGTTTTGCCTTCAAGGAAAAACACAAACCAGCCCGGAGAAAACTCTTTCAGAAATGTTGCAGATCTGATTCTCCTCCCCCCTGGGTGTGCTTTCACTATCACTTACAGGAAGAATCCTTTGAACATCAGGTCTTTTATCAGTTCCAGTCTTTGCTTAGTGCTGAACCAATCCAGGCTGCTGTGCCTGCCTCTAATGGGATTAGAGCAGTTTGTTTCCATGAAAATGCAATAAAAGAAGATCTGCCTCCTATCTGTTGCAGAGGACAGAGCAAAATCTGAGTGAATAAATGAATAAATGAATAAATGATGAGATTTTACTTATAATCCTGAAAATGACAGTAGGTTTGTTTAGAGTGGGAGACGGAATCAGGAAATCCAGGCTGTAATCTGGATCCCTGCCCCAAACCTGCCCAGCAACCATGGAAGTGGATTTATCAGCACTGCCATGATCCTCCAGCCGTGATGCTGCTCAGTTCACACACAGGTTTTGTCAGCAAAGCTCTGACAGCACCAGCACACCGAGCCTTCAGTAAAGCCTGAAGAAAACTGCCATCTCTCAGCTGAATTTACAGTTGGACTCCATGATAGAAAGGAATTTTCCACCAAAACGGTTCCATGAAGCCTCGCTCAGGAAAAAGCACAGGAAATAAGTGGGGGAGAGGCAACTGCAGAGCTGTGGTGGCTCCCACCTCACTGAGCACCCAGCTCCCTTCTCTGCACGGACCCAGCCAACCCTCCCATCCACAGATCAATTCCCAGAACCACGAACCCAACCCCAAACTCTCCCCCACACATCTAAACCTCAGAACACTCTTTGTCCCTTCTACCATCCCAGATTAACTTGGAAACTTGGGGGTTTTGAACCGAACCCGACGGGTTTCGTGCCTCCTGGATGGGGTTTACTGGGTTTAGTTGATTTTCAACAGCGTTTGAATTGCTAAAGTTAAACTATGAGTTTCAGATTCACTCAGTTCCAAAACAATTTATTCCCCAGGCTGAGATAAAGTTTCTTGAAGCCCATCTGCAAAATTCCAGGGGAATCCTGGGTGATTAATCCTACAGCAAGAGTTCAGGGAAGGTCTGGCATGGGCAGCTCTCATATCATGACAAAGACTCCAAAAATTCAAGTTGTGAAATGACTTCACACAGACCCAAAATTCCCTTTAACACCGAGTTGCTCCTCCTCGCCTTAAACTGTAACACATTGAAACAACTTTTGTCCAAAATGTGTTTTAGTCAATACTTCAAGAAAACCACCCGCAGCAAAACAAAGCCAGGAGGAGAGGAAACTATGAGAAAACTGGAAAATCCACCAGCATCGAGGCCTCGGGACTGTGTTGCAAGTCCCCAGCATATGCAACTCATTTTGGAGTTAAGCAATTCCCCCCGGGACACGCCGGCTGCAGTCCACATGCGGGATCAGATTTCATGAGCACTTGGAAGAAAAATGCGAGCCCGGAGCATTTGCAAGTCAAAACTAGTGAGGGCAGGAGCTGCTCTGGCCATCTCGGCTTCGTTTTCTCTCTCTGTGAATAATTTTTTTTTTTTTTTTTTTTGATAAGAAACATTTTGTAAGACACACAAAGATGAGGGAAGAGCGAGGAAAGGATGGGAATATTTCACTCTGTGTGTGTGTGTGAGTTTGTGAGACTCGCACTGATACAGATATCAAAAATTCACTTCTTCATCTCGACTGCAACAGTCCTGATTGCTGAGCTCACTTCAAACACTTCCCTACTCTTTCATGTATTAAAAAATACAGAAATACCTACATATGTATTTTTATACAATTCACATTTGCCTAACTCATTGTAATCTTCACACGAGACACAAACAATCCCGATTTACTTCACAAAAATTAATCAATTCCACACTTATTTTTCCCTCTTTCACTGAACCCTATCAAAATCAAATTCACTTTACTCCAGCGAGCAATCACGAGCTGCCACAACTCCGAGCTCCCTGCACCACCTTGTGTGACTCGAGTAAGTTACTAACAGCACGATCTCCTGTTTCCACTAAAACAATGAACACAATATTTGCAGAGTCAATAGCCGGAGCCACTCCCTCCCGGGATTTTCCTGATGCAGCAGCTTTAATTTCTCCAAGATTGGGAGGGACAAATCCTTACCTTGGCTTGAGGAGCTTCACCCTTCTCGAACATCATCTTCAGCTTGCTCAGGGGCACGTTGTACTTCTCGATCCTCGCCGGAGACTCCGACCTCTCGCTGGCTTCGGGCTTTTCCATGTCCCAGCAGTTTTGCATGCTGTCCCGGGATGGGCTGTGTGGCTGTGTGTCACCAGCGGGACACACAGGGGCAGCTCCAGCCCCCGGGGATGGCGAAGGGCAGCGGCCGCTCCCCACTTTGTGTCTCAGCTCACTCCGGATCGCTTCCCTGCCACACTCCGCTGCCAGCACAGGATTCTCCCACTTCTTCTTCAGCACGCTCAGATTCCCCCTGCTCAAGTGAGCGGACAGGTTTTCTGCGTTCTGCAAAGAGCAAGGAGTTAATTGCGGCTCTCCCAGAGCACTTCCTTTCCATGCAGGAGGAAGCTCAGCAGCGATCCCCGCTCCCGGCCAGCTGTGAATAGTTACAGCTGTGCCACATGGAGAAAGCATCCAGGATAGGGAAGGAAGGAGGGGGGAGAAGAGAAAAGTCAGGATAAGGCAGGAAGTGAGCAAACAGGAATGGCCTTATAAGGGAAAAGGGAGTCAAAGGCAGGAGTTAAATGGCACACAAAAGACCTGAATCCACATATGAAGGAAATGGGGCTCAAATCCACACGAGGAGGGTCTCTAGTCCCACAACAAGGAAAGGGGAGCACCAGAGGCCATAGGAGATGGCTGCTGTGCCAAATGCTGCGGTGTCTTCAGAAGACATCAGCTATCAGACCTTCCCAAAGCTACAAATCAGCTTTCAGAAACCACTGAATCCTTGGAGTTGTTTCTGCTCTCAGATAACATCAGGACTAAAGTTCCCAGAGACCTGCTCAGGATTTTACACCACACAGCCAAAGCTCAAGCCAAGCACCCACAACAAACACCCTTCTGCTCCAGTTTAAAAAACAACCAGTAACTCGCTGGGATTTTTGTTCCATTTGACTCAAGCACGGCCGGGGACACACACACGGGTCACCGGCACTGCCTCACCCCCAGGGGAACACCCGGAGCAGCATCACTCCCATCCCACTGCTTCCCAGCCCATCCCCAATCCCAGCAGCTCCCTCTCCCCCAGAACAGCCCAGCCCATGTTTGAGCCATTCCAGCCCAATAATACCTGCCACCATTGCATGTTTCCTGTCTCTCCCTTATGGAAACCACTCCAAACTCATTGCAAGTGGAGCAGGGCTGCCAGGCTTACAGGAATTAACTGGCATTAGCAGCTATATTAGGATTTAAGTCTCTCACCCTATTACTCTTCTGGTCACATTTTGAATGCTGCTTTGCAAATTGACTTGAATCCACTTACACTTCAAAAAAAAAAATAAAATCAGTGTGTTTGCTGACTGAATTGAAAAGAAAGTATTAAAATTATAAGGGAAGTGTCATAATGGAAGAGAAATATTGAAAATTGTGTGGCAGGTTTCTGGTGGGAACACCTCCAGAATCCCAGCACACTTTCTAAAACTTGAGACTTGTCTGTTCCCTGATCACAGGAAGATTGACAGACAAGTACAAGCAATGAAGAAAATTTAAGACTTAAAAGTAATTTTCAGAAAGCTTCTTTTATCCCACCTATATCCCAAACAACAAAGAGTGGCTCCCTAAACATTAGAGAAATCAAGGCAGCAACCTTCCTCTAGAGCCTGAAAATATTGGCAGTGCTTTAAAATATAAATTATCCCAAGGACCAAGACAAAACCCTGCAGCCTTTGTCAGCCAAGGTTCCCTGATCCCTGAACACAATGGGGGTTACAGGAGGGAATGTGGGGCTGTAACAGAGCCAAAAAGGTTGGTGCTGTGTCTCATCCAGGGGCATTTCCAGTCCTGGATTTCAGGGAGGCTTGGAGGCTCCTTTTAAGCAATTTTAAATTTAGTTAAGAAAGGAAAAGGCACCACACAAATGCCTCCAGCTAAGAACAGGAGGTGGGTATTCCTGGCTTGTGGTTAACTCATTTTGCCTTTTGCTCAGGAGAGAATTGGTGATTCAACACAGCTTTGGGCAAGAAACTTTATTTCCTTTCCTCCACACTGGGAAAAAGCGTGGGGCACGAAGCAAAAGCAAACCCTATGTGTGAGCCAGGTTTCCTGTAGGACACACAACAGCAAATTTTGATATTCCAAAAGTCAACCGTCACAGCAATATTCATGCAGGTGATCCATCCTGATTGTAGGCTGTGCTCATTCCCAAGGAAACAAACATTTATACACAACACTTACACTTCTCTTCTTCTCAGCAGTGGCTTCTTCAGCAGCTTTCTGATACCTTTGAGAGAGTGAAAAACAAACAAAAGCCAAGTTTTAACCAGAATACTGAATGCTCCTAAAGACAGCTGAGATTTTTCTTCCCCCACCAAGGGTTCTGTGCACCCCCCAGATCAACTAAAACTAGAGGCTGGACAAACAGCAGCAAATAACACAAAGCCAAGTGACAGACACATTTTCAGTCACCCAGTTTACAATAATAACACCCATTAATACTTTTCATTCCCTAAGCACTCTGATTCCCAAATAGAGACAGTTTACCTTGGAATAGCTGTATTGTTTCCATCACCCAGCTGTCTGCTGTGCCCCCTTGCAGGAATAACTCAGCTCTTTATACAGCAGCTGCTGAACCAGAACAAATTCCAGCTTGGCACATGCCGAAAATCTCCCTAAGTGCCAGTGGATTTTACTCTTGGGGCTGGGAACTGCCCCCATTCAGCACTTGCCTCCTGGGCAGCTGAGCCATCACAGCCCTCTGGAGATAAGCCACCCTGGATCATGAATCAAAGTCCTTTAAGGAGCTGTAGGAAACTCCCAGCAATCTGCACCGGGCTGGGTGTGAGTCCCTGCACAGTCCTCCCTGGTTACTACACTGCACAAGGTGATTGCACTTGGCCTTTGAAATACGAAAATTAGTGACAAATTTTGCCATTTTAAGGAGAGTTTCACCTTTCAGACAGAAGGAACTCAGCGTCTGCTTGGGCAAAGGGTGTTTCTGTTTTCCTTATCTGTGGAATTCTGCTTTTGACACAACAGTGAGTGTGTTACAGGCTCCTCTTTAATCCATGCAAACACACACTAACCCATCTCTCTGCACCCTGAAGGGTCCAGATTTGAACACAAGATGCTGAGAAAGTGATGCTGGAGGAAAAGGGATCAGCAGTGGAGGAAGAAACAAAGAGGAACACAGATTAAAGTCAAGTAGCACCTGGAAAACAGGACAACTGAGGAGTCCCAGCCCCCTGCTCTGTGAGTCAGCTCAGCATGGGCTTCTTGAATCTCTGCTGTTGCCTTTTGTGTCTCTGACCTGACAAAGCTGATTATAAGGGACGGGGGAAAATGTTTTCACATACAAATATTTAATTAACAGCACTTTAAAAAGTCACACTCCTCCCTGCGGGTATCAGGGTGGCAGAGCCAGAGAGCAGGACTGGGTTTTTCCAAGGCACTGACCCTGCCTATGGAGAGGGACACCACTTGATTAAGGAATAGCAGTTTGGATTACTCCCAGTAAGCCTTTTTCAAGGGATTATCAACATTTAGCAAGATGACCAGGTTCTGTAATCAAGCTTCAGCGAGTGAATAAATTACCTTAACAAGGTGGTGACAGCAAACAGCTTCTCCCTGGGCCAGAGATGCACAGAGGAGCTCTGGAGCTGTGGGTGTTTAACTGTACAGATTCCAAAAAGTTTGCCTGCACTCAAGATCCAAACACTCCAAAACTTTATTACACTATTAATGCAATAGTGGAGACTCAGTTCCTCAAATCCCATTGAAAACTCCAGCTGAAGCCTGTATGATTCCTTAAGGAAATAAAAGCTTTTCCAGGGAATGCATTGCTTATTGCCACTCAGCTTTCTCAGGGTATACAATATTTATGGTTTGAGTGTAACCCTTCATCCGTCTCTCGGAGACAAGGGAAGCTTAATATTCCTTTTCTTCCTGAGTCAGAAGAGGTTTAGACTGGATAGCAGGGAAATGTTCTTCCCCCAGAGAATGACCAGGCACTAAAAAGGCTCCACAGGGCATGGTCACGGTCCCAAGGCTGCCAGAACTCCAGGAGCATTTGGACAACACCCTCAGGCACAGGGTGGGATTGTTGGGGTGTCTGTGCAGGGCACAGCAACTGTGAGAGCAGCAGTCCCTGCCCAAGGTGCCAGCTGTCACCTGCACACACAGCTGGTGCTCACCAGCCCCACAGCACTTACTTGGAGAACCTCTCCGCCAGGGCCGAGGACTTGCTCTTGTTGACCAGGGAAAGCTCTTTTGCAGTGATTTTCAAAGACTGAGAGGTCCATTGCCTTCTATTGAACGGGGAAGGCTCCATTTTATCTCCCCAAATCCCTGCTCAGGAGGAAGGAACAGTGTCAGCAATAGGAACTGTGAGCAGAAAAGAAGTTCCACAAAGTGATTTGATCCTGCGTCCCTATTCAGGTGCTCCCAGCAATCCAAACCCTCGAGGATCCGTCCACCAACTGACCTTGAAAAGGCAGCAGATGACAATTATCATTTCCTCTGCAGATGCCATTGAGATGGTGCCCTGATAAAGCCACAGGCACAATGGGGACACAGAGCTGTGAGCAGAGGATGCCAGAGTGACACTCCTGTGTCACAAACACACACACAGGAGCTCCAGGAAGCCCCAAAATGCCCTCACTTGTTCCGGTTTCAAACCAAATGTGCTGGCATTTATGTAAGAGGGTTTGAGTTACGAAACTAAGAGGATGTAATTACTATACAAACATTTTTCATTCACTCTTGTGTTCACTCTCAGCGCAGCAGCAGCGTTTCCTCTGTGAGCTCAAACAAGTCTCGTGTTCATGGAGGCAGCTGTGCCCCTCCTGTTGCAGTAGCTACCAAAATATCAGTGAAACAGTATTAATTACCTAAAGAACAGCCCCAACCACCCCATCCTGCTGGAAATGGCAAGAGATTTTGTCCAGCTTTTCACCACAGAAGCCAACAAAACTATGTCAGATTTATTTTTTTACATAGTTTTCTTTTGTGGAGGAGGAGGAAAGGAGGGGAGATTAATTTAAAGAATTCTCTGATAAGACAAAAATAAAGCCTGTAGGGCAACGCCTTTCCTTTTTTCCTCTTTTCTTTTCTCCCCAGTCCCATGTCACACAATGCCTGCAGCAAGGGCACAAACTGACCCTGCAATGCCAACTCCAGGCAGGCTGAGCTCTTTCTTGTATTTTCCATTAATTCCTTTAACGGATTTGCACAGTCACGGAACTCTGGATCCAGAGTGAGTCCAGGTCTTCCAGACAACTGATCACACATGAACACCTTCACACAAGGCAAAAACAATCAAAGGGAGGAAAGACAACGTTCCTGAAATCCTCACAGGTCTGGAATGCACCTGCTCAGAAATGACAAATGTGGGATCCTGCAGCACCTCAGCCCAGGAGAACTCAGGGTCACTGGAATGGGAGCCCTGGGAGCAGAGAAGCCTCTGCAGAGCTGTTCCCTGCCTGGAGACAGAGCAGGTGAACACATCTCTGTCCTGGGAGATGCAGGAAGAACAGGCCTTTCTCTCACATGCCATAATTCCTCTGATGTCCTGGAGAGAACAGCATGCCGTGACAGGAGGTGTTTTATCAGAACAGTGATTTTGGTGGAGTTTTCAGACACGCAGGTTGAACTGTCGCTGCAAACAAGTGACGCTGGTTTCGTGGGGATGTTGAAACACACTGAAACCATTTATCAGTGTTGCTTTTCCAGGTGTAGCTACATGAATGGCACACAGAGCCCCTTCCAACCAGCAAGAGAAGCCCAAATTGGAGTTACTTTCTGAAATTCCTGCCTTTTTGAACACTTTCTGCATCACCAAGTCCCCGCTAAACCTCCGTCCAGGCTGCACTGAGAGCGCTCTGCATTTGACAACAGCACAAATCACCATCCACAAGGACAAAGGATCTCATTTCTATCTTCTCTCTTTCCAAAAATCATACTGCACACACAAATAAACCCAGTGTTTCTGTGACTGCAGGATGCAGCCCCCAGGAGCCTCAGGATACACACAGAGAGAGATCACAGATCGAATTTACTGCTGGAAAATCCCACAAAAAGAATTCTGTCCGTGTTAAAGACCAATGCTGAATGAGCTGTGTCATGCCACAGGTTGAACTTTGTTTTATGACTAATCTCGAGCCAAAGGGAGCTCACCTGAGGCCCCGCTGCAATTTAAATGGCTTTTCAGAGAGCAGAGTCAGCTGTGCCCAGGAAACAGGAGCGGGGCATTCATCAGAGCTCCCCTGGCACAGGGAACAGGTGCTCATTGACACACGGAAGGAACAGCTCAATAAAACACTGAGAAACAAAACTGAGTGTAATTGTTCAGAAAATGGCCCTGCTTTGGATGCCTGAGCATCCCACTGCATCCCCAACCACTCCTGTTCAGGGCTGCATCTTCTCCCTGATGAGTTTTTCTGTTTCCCTGCCATTCTCCATCAGAGCCACACGTACACTGAGTTACTCTGGCTTGTTTAGGCAAAAATCTCTTTATAAAAAAGTCAGTACGTGCTGCTGGGACATTCAGCTGGAAAGAGAAGCAGCCTATCTGGAATCTCAGTCTCTAGAAATGACATGAAACAGAGGTCTGACATGCCTTGAAACTTGTGCTCCCACATTTTTATGCTATTCCACATTCTTAGCACTTTCCCATTCATTTTCAGTTTTGGCGTGTTCAAGTATCTCTGGGCTTTCTTTACTGCTCCTTGTGAATGGTTTGTCCAGACCAATTTGAGGAAGGATGTATTAAGAGTTAAACAAGACTATGAATGCTCTGTAGGTGCTGTGGAAGGTGGCACAGAGTCCAGAGGAGATGGGAATGCCAGAGGTGCAGCAGCTGATAGGGAAGGAAAGGACTGTGACTGAGCCACAACCTAGCACAACACATCAATAACCTCAGAATATATAACAGCAGAATATATTCCAATAACAGCAGAACATAAACGCCTTTACCCAGAAAGATCCTGAGAGAAAAGCCGCCTAACGCTTAGCCAAGGTGGAAATGGCCCGTTCGCTACAAGCGGCCCCAGGAACGGGCCAGCCCCGGGCACCACGCTCCAGCCCCGGGCACGAAACCGCCCAGAGCCGGAGGGCGCGGCCCCGGGAGCCACGAGCCCCCGGCCCGGCTTTTCCGGACGGGCCCCGGCCCCGGGCGGGGCGGCAGGACGGGGCTGTGCCGCTGACCGCCGGTACCGGGCACCGGAGCC